AACCTGGTTTCCTTTAGGCCCCAGGCCAGTTATCCCATCTGGGTTGTTGGTCACAACTTGGATGCTCATAAGCCCAAGTTGAGATTTGGCTCCTTGGAAGGGAACAATTCTTTTCATCATGTCTCCTCCCCTTTCTGTCCCCCAAGTCACAGCAAACTGAAGTGTGCCACTAATCAAAAGACAGCAGAGGAGTGTGGGGATATGTCCTGGCCTACTGCTGAGAAGGCAGACCAGCAGCACAGCCCTACCTCGGGGCACAGGCTCTCCCGTCTTCCCTCTCACTGGTTGCCCCATCACTGGCTGCTTGTAGGGGCTTTGAGCCAGCTCCTCTCACTGTTCCTGGGCAGAAACTGCCTTCCAGGAGGCGAGGCAGCGTTGAGAAGGCACCGTCTCCTCTGTATGAGCTGCAGAGGGCAGAACAATGGAGATGAGAGTAGACGAGTACAGCTGAACCCTAAACATTCTCAGGGAACACACCTTCGCCTGAAGCTCCAGACTGATCATACCCAGACCTCTGTCCCTCCTGTGGCCTTTACACAGCTGTCCCCTTTGCCTGGAATGCTCTCCCACCACACTTCTCTAGGCACAGTTGGTTTCCTCTCATCCTTTATATCTGTGTAAATGTCACCTTCTCTGAGATGACTTCCCTCACCTCTCTAGTATGTTACACTTATCATAATCTGAAATTATTCTTTTTATTTATGTAGCTGTTTAAATCCATCTGTCCCACTGAATAGTAGTTTCCAGAAGGGCAAAACTGCACCTGCCTTCCCCACTGTGGAATCCCCAAGACTTAGCACTGCGTCTAATACAAGCAGTGGCCAATAAACTTTTTTAAATAAGTATTTTATTCAACCACACCTCTTACTACATCCCAATAGTAACACCCTCTACTCCAGCCCATTTTTCCCAGAAAGACAACATATGGACTCTCCTGATCATGCTACCTCTAACCCCAGCCTGAAACTACCTCTCAATTCCTAACCACAAAGTGGTCCTTCTCATGTTCTTTCTCCTCCAAAATCTCTTCATCATCCCTGCTCTACTCTCAGTCCCCTGAAACCTCTTCCTCCCTTTGTCCCCTATGTCCTTTGGTGTAACTGACTTTTGGTGGCTAATGGGGCTGCTTCCTGTTTGTTTGTTTGTTTAATTTAATTTATTGCCTTGAGAGAGAAACGTTCATTTGTTGTTCCATTTATTCATGCATTCATTGGTTGATTCTTTTATGTGCCCTGACTGGGGATCAAACCCACAACCTTGGCATATCAGAACAATGCTCTAAACAACTGAGCTACCCAGCCAGGGCTTGCTTCTTGTTCTTAATTCTTGTGTAACAGAACCCAGATTTCTTCTACCCAGTTGTAAGTTCCTTAGAGACAGGGGCCTATGCCTTAGGCCTTAGCCCAGGCCTTGCCTATAGTTAGTCCTCAGAAAAGTTTTTTGTTGTTGTGGATAATGGCTCTATTAATGAGAACCTCCTGGTTTTGAGTAACAGAAATTGAAATGAGCCTGTTTTATTTGATTAAATAGAAGAGGAATTCACTGGTCTGCATAACTAAAGCTCCCAGGCATTATCCAGTGACTGACTCTCTGTAGGTAGATCTTTTCTGACTTCTGCATTAGGTTCATTTTCAGGAAGGCTCTCCAATCTTGATGGCAAAATGGCCTCCAGGCTCACATTCCATAGGCTGAGTACTACAAGGGAAAGAGAATTTTCAAGAGTCCGAGAAGCAATTCTCATTGCCCTGGTTTGAGTCATGTGCGTGTCTGGATCCAATCTCCGTGACTAGGAAGACAGAATACTCCTAGACTGGAGCATCCCTAGATGGATGGCCAGGCATGGGTGACATACCTACTCCTAGATGTAGGATGGGATTATCCACCACATGGATTGGGGTGGTTCCCCAAAGGAAATCCCTGGCTGGGGAGTAGTTTGACAAGAAAGGAGAATTGATGTTAATCACACAAAACAAAAGATGTAGATTATAAGGATTTCCAGAGCCCAGCTTCAGTGAGGATCTTAAGATACCTTAGGTCAGCTAGCACAATAGACTCACAGGGGAACTGGCTTGCCCTGCCTGGAGAAAGAGGATATGCTCTTGGGGTCTGGGTAGCTCTCCAGAGACAGAACAGGGATCCTAGGATGAGGTGCCTGCTCAGTTCTGGCACTCACAAGTTCAGGAAGATTATGATTCAGTTGGTATAGGGTAAAACCTTTCTTTATCAGAGTTCCAGGGGTGATTCCGCTGTAAGTCAAGTTTGAAAAATTCTGCTCTAGGACATGATGTTCTACTTCAGCAAGAAGGATTCATATTAGTTCTTCAGGACGATGTCCCCTGTATTAGAATCAGAATGTTTCTCCCTCTCTGTACCAGTCAGTGGTCAGAAAAGGGTCACTGGGGCTTGCTTTGGAGTCTTAGGATAGGTTGGTGAACTGTGGGTGACCCTGTGGGTCAAAAGCCCCTGAAAACAACAATAGCCACTATTTATTGAATGCCAACTGCAAGGCAGGCACTGTGCTTTGGGACTTCACAGATGACAGTCCATGTAAGTTTCAGTCTTCACAACAATCCTTCATGTGGGTATCATTAACATTAGCCCTATTTGACAGTTGAAGAAAGCGAAATACAAGTCTGGAGAAGGTACCCCACCAGGGAGTGGCAAAATAGGCATTCAGACACAGAACCATATGACCCTGCCTGGTCTGGCCTTCCCTGGCCTGCAGAAGGTCTCAGACTGGCTCATCACTCCTGTCCTAAAAAGACAACTGTGTAGGTAGGTGATGGGAGTAGGCCCCCTACCCAGCCCTAGGTACTTGGGATGGGGAGCTCAAACCCAGAGCAGAGAGACAAGGGAGTTCTGGTTCACTGCTGGATTCAAGTAGATTTTTATAAAACAATGTCAGTATGTGTGTGTGTGGCGGGGGTGGGGGTCAGGGGTTACAGAGGTGTGGAGCCCAAGAGAGTTACAACTCCATCCCCACCTCACCTTCCCATTCAAAGCCCTTGACCCAAATCTCCTGAGGCTGTATGGGTTCCTGGAGACCTTGGCCTGCCCCTCTCCCTCCTTGGGTCATCAGCACCCTCCTTCTGACCCTCCTTCTGACGGTGGCACACACACACACACTCTCTTTCTCTCTCTCTCTCTCTTCCTTACCCCAGGACATTTTTTGATATTTTGTTCAGGTAGAGTAGGAGGGAGGGAGAGAGACAGAAACATTGATGTGAAAGGGACACATCGAGTGGCTGCCACCCGCACGACCCAACCAGGGCCGGAGACAAATTGCAACCGAGGTACGAGGTACGTGCCCTCAGCTGGACCGCAGGCCAAAGCTCTAACCGCCGAGACAAACCGGCCAGGGCTCTTTTTAAATGCAGAAAAACAACACCTCCCCTAGATTCAGAGCTAGAGCTGGAGTCTTCCGCTTCTGGAATCCCTGTTGTCTTTAGGGTTCGCGTTTAACTACGGAGTGGACCGGACAGGCAAGGGCTTCCCTGTTTGCGTCTGACTCCTCGGAGACCCGCGGTAACGGTTCCCTCCTACGCCTCCCCACTCTGACTCAGGAAGGGGAATGCTATCCCGTCCCGAGTCTAGTCGCCTCGGTGGTGGTGGCTCCCCAGAGACTGCAGGGAGAGCCCAGGCTGCGGCGCCTGCTCAGTTCGAGCTCACTGCGTCTAAGGCTCCCCGGGCCTGGCTCGGCGCCCCGCACACGAGCGGGAGGGGGAGCAAGAAGACGGCGGAAGAGCCCACTCGGCCAGGGACTCGGGGAACCGAGCTGGAGAGGAACCTCCAGGGGGCAGCACCAAACCGCTAAGCAAGTCCTCTCTACGTGCTAGCCTGGGGTCCCCAGACCGCCCGTAGGGAAGCCCCGTTTTTAGATTCCCACACTGCCCACCCCACCTCCACCTGTTCTGGGTAAAGATGGGAAAGTCTACCACCACCACAAGGATCACTAGCTCCTGGTGGGTAAAGGACTCAGGTCTCCTCTAGGGCAATCAGATTCCCTCATCCGGTCACCCAAAGGTAGTCATTTTCCCGGAGACGACTTTCGGTTCTCGGTGGCGTAGAGGGATCCCCAGACTCCAATATCCCATTGGAAAACGTCGGAGAAGCAGGAGCCCAAAGCAACGCATAGGAACCCAGGAACCATAGGCTATTACTTCCTAGCCTCAATTTCCCGGGTGACACCTGGTAAGGCACCATGCTGCTGGTCTCCTCTGGGGTCAAGGCCCCGCCTCTCCTGGGCGGCCTCTGACCCCGCTGGCCCAGCCGCTCCTCCCCTTCGCTCCAGCCCAGCTCCCACGGTCCCAGAGGTAGGCGGGCTGGCACTGGGTGACGGCGACAGAACCCTGGCCCGACTCGCCCTCGCGCCCCCGCCGAGGGCCGGGCTTCCCCAGCCCTGTCCCCTCCAGGGAGCTGCCGGAGCCGCGGTGTGCTTAGCGCTCCGCGCCTGAGCCCTCCTCTCCTGGGCGTCCCCAACTCCTGCACGCGTTTGGGCTCACGGCTTGTAGCCAGGGAGGAGGGAGGGAGCCAGGGAGCAGCGAGCAGCGACCCGGAAACGCCATATAAGGAGCAGGAAGGATCCCCCGCCGGAACAACCCTTATTTGGTCAGCGCCTTATTTGGAGCCGCTCGATATGGCCCGGCTGCTTCCGGCTCCGGGAGGAGGGGAGAAGGCGGAGGGAAGGAGGCGGAGGGAAGGAGGCGGGGGCAACGTCGGGAACTCCGGGACAGTTGGGGTCGGGAGTCCCCAGCTGCGGCTGAGCCTTAGGCTTTCTCCAGGTTTGGGCTCCCAGGGTGCGGGAGGAGGCGTAGGGCCCCGGGGTGCGGGATGGCGGTGCCCACCCATCTCGGACAAGGGGCTTCACGTCACTCCGGGTCCTCCCGGCGGTCTTGCCATATTAGGGCTTCCTGCTTCCCATATACGGCCATGTACGTCACGACGGAGGCGGGCCCATGCGGTTCCAGACCCTTCAAATAGAGGCGGATCCGGGGAGTCGCGAGAGATCCCAGCACGCAGAACTTGGGGAGCCGCCGCCGCCGCCGCCGCCAGCTACCGCCGCCGCCAGCTTCCGCCGTCCAGGACCGGCCCCGGCCCGGTCTCGGTAGCAACACTGCGTCCACACCGGCCGGCGGCAAGGGCAAGCCTGGGGACCCCATCTGCGCTCTTCACATTGTGCCCCGAGTCCCGCATGTGACCCGGCCAGGTCCCCGAGAGTGTGTTCCCCGCAGCTCCAGCCCCGGGCTGCCCCCACCCGCCCCAACACCAGCTCTCCAGTCCGCCCGTCCGGGATGGCCGCAGCCAAGGCCGAGATGCAGCTGATGTCCCCGCTGCAGATCTCCGACCCATTCGGCTCCTTTCCTCACTCGCCCACCATGGACAACTACCCTAAGCTGGAGGAGATGATGCTGCTGAGCAACGGGGCTCCTCAGTTCCTCGGAGCAGCTGGGGCCCCGGAGGGTAGTGCTGGTAACAGCAGCGGCAGCAGCGGGGGCGGTGGAGGTGGAGGGAGCGGCAGCAACAGCAGCAGCGGCAGCGCCTTCAACCCTCAAGGGGAGGCGGGCGAGCAGCCCTACGAGCACCTAACCTCAGGTAAGCTGTGGCCTACGCCGAGAATTAGCCCCTTCACTGCTATCCCTCGCGTCCAGTCCTTCCCCACGGCCTTTGCCGCGCTCCCTTGACCGCAGCAATGCTGCTGGACCTCAGGGATGCAAGTGGGGTTTCCCTTCTATTCCTCGCATCCCCAGGGTCCTGTGTTAGAGGAATGCCTGGGGACATCCGTCCCTACCCCCACCCTCCTGGTCCCTAGAGGTGCGCATAGGAGCGAGCTTTTGTTTTGGATGGAGAGCTCTGGGGCTGCGTGGGTGGGTGGAGGTGGGGGGAGGGCTTGTTTTGATAAGCGGGGCTGCGAGGCCCTTTCCCCCTCCAGAAAAGCTGTCCTGCCTGTCGCTGTCCCCAAGGAAGGGCTGTGATCAATGGCCAGGGATGCCCCGGCAGCCCGGGGTAGGGGATGCGCGCTAGCGGTGGCCGAGGGGGTGCTGGCGGGAATCCCTGTGCGGCGCAGCCGCTGCTACGGAGCCCTAGGAACTGCAATGGAGGGGGATTCTCCGTATTTGCGTCAGCTGTTGTTGAATTGGATTCTGCCGCTGGAGCAGGTCCAGGAACATTGCAATCTGCTGCTATCAATTATTAACCAGCTCGGCAGTCAATGGTAGCCGGCCCGACCTCTTGCCTGGCAGTTTCGCTCCTCCTCGTCCTCCAGTGATTGCTGTCCAGTAACCAAGCCTCCTCCCTATCTTTCTCCTGCCAGAGTCTTTTCCTGACATCTCTCTGAGTAACGAGAAGGTTCTGGTGGAGACAAGTTATTCCAGCCAAACCACCCGGCTTCCCCCCATCACCTACACTGGCCGCTTCTCTCTGGAGCCTGCACCCAACAGTGGCAACACCTTGTGGCCTGAGCCCCTCTTCAGCCTGGTCAGTGGCCTTGTGAGCATGACCAACCCCCCAGCCACCTCATCCTCAGCACCATCTCCAACGGCCTCTTCCTCATCCTCGGCCTCCCAGAGCCCACCCCTGAGCTGCGCAGTGCAGTCCAACGACAGCAGCCCCATTTACTCAGCGGCACCCACCTTCCCCACTCCTAACACTGACATCTTCCCTGAGCCACAAAGCCAGGCCTTTCCAGGCTCCGCCGGCACCGCGCTCCAATACCCGCCTCCTGCTTATCCTACTGCCAAGGGTAGCTTCCAGGTCCCTATGATTCCAGACTATCTGTTTCCACAACAGCAGGGGGACCTGGGACTGGGCACCCCAGACCAGAAGCCCTTCCAGGGCCTGGAGAGCCGTACTCAGCAGCCTTCCCTCACTCCCCTCTCTACCATCAAGGCCTTTGCCACACAGTCTGGCTCCCAGGACCTGAAGGCCCTCAACACCACTTATCAGTCCCAACTCATCAAACCCAGCCGCATGCGCAAGTACCCCAACCGGCCCAGCAAGACACCCCCCCACGAGCGGCCCTATGCCTGCCCAGTGGAGTCCTGTGACCGCCGCTTCTCCCGTTCAGATGAGCTCACGCGTCACATTCGCATCCACACTGGCCAGAAGCCCTTCCAGTGTCGCATCTGCATGCGCAACTTCAGCCGCAGTGACCACCTCACCACCCACATCCGCACCCACACAGGGGAGAAGCCCTTCGCCTGCGACATCTGTGGGAGAAAGTTTGCTAGGAGCGATGAACGCAAGAGACATACCAAGATCCACTTGCGGCAGAAGGACAAAAAAGCAGACAAAGGTGTTGTGGCCTCCTCTACCAACCCCTCCCTCTCTTCCTACTCCTCACCGGTGGCTACCTCCTATACCTCCCCAGTTACTACCTCTTATCCATCCCCAGCCACCACCTCATACCCATCACCTGTGCCCACTTCTTACTCCTCTCCAGGCTCCTCAACCTACCCATCCCCTGTGCACAGTGGTTTCCCCTCACCTTCAGTGGCCACCACATACTCTTCCATTCCTCCTGCTTTCCCTGCCCAAGTCAGCAGCTTCCCTTCCTCAGCTGTCACCAACTCCTTCAGCGCCTCCACAGGGCTTTCGGACATGACAACAACCTTTTCTCCCAGGACAATTGAAATTTGCTAAAGGAAAAGAGGAAAAAAAGGGAAAAGGGAAAAAAAGAGACTTAAGAAACACAAGAGACTTAAAAGACAGAATGGAGGAGATGGCCATGGGAGGGTTTCCTCTTGGGCCAGATGGAGGTTCTCGGAGCCAATCCTCCCCCTCTACTTGACTCCAGGGTCACCATGGAAAGTCTGTTGGCCAACAATCCTTTCTGCCCTCTTTCCCTTCCTCCTCTGTTCCCTTTGACTTCAGCTGCCTGAAACAGCCATGTCCAAGTTCTTCACCTCTATCCAAAGAACTTGATTTGCATGGATTTTGGATATATCATTTCAGTATCATCTCCACTGTATGCCTGACCCCTTGCTCCCTTCAGTGCTAGAAAATTGAGTTGGCAAAATGGGGTTTGGGCCCCTCAGAGCCCAGCCCTGTACCCTTGTACAGTGTGCCATGGATTTCATTTTTCTTGGGGTACTCTTGATGTGAAGATAATTTGCGTATACTATTGTATTACTTGGAGTTAGGGCCTCACTTTGGGAGAAAAAAAAAAAGAAAAGCCAAGCAAATCAATGGTGATCCTTTATTTTGTGATGATGCTGTGACGATTAAGTTTGAAGCTTTTTTTGAAACAGCAGTCCTTGGTATTAACCAGAGCATGTGTCAGAGTGATGTTCCGTTAACCTTTTTGTAAATATTGCCTGACTGTACTCTCACATGTGGCAAAATATGGTTTGGTTTTTCTTCTTTTTTTTTTAAAGTGTTTTTTTTTTTTTTTTTTGTCCTTTCGGTTTAAAAAGTTTCACGTCTTGGTGCCTTTTGTGTGATGCGCCTTGCTGACAGCTTGACATGTGCCAGTTTAAGGGACGTGCTCACCTCTAGCCTTAAGGGGGGCAGGGAGTGACGATTCGGAAGAGGCTTTGGAAGCAAAATAAGGAAGAGGGCAGAGCTGAGCCTCTGTTCTCCAGAATGTAAGAAAAAATCTGAATTCTCAAAAGTCTATTTTTTTAACTGAAAATGTAAATTTATAAATATATTCAGGAGTTGGAATGTTGTAGTTACCTACTGAGTAGGCGGCGATTTTTGTATGTTATGAACATGCAGTTCATTATTTTGTGGTTTTATTTTACTTTGTACTTGTGTTTGCTTAAACAAAGTGACCGTTTGGCTTATAAACACATTGAATGCGCTTTATTGCTCATGGGATATGTGGTGTATATCCTTCAGAAAAATTAAAAGGAAAAGAAATAGCTGTGGTGTGCGTCTCTTTCCTGGACTGGCGGTGGGCTCTGCAGTTGCCCTCCCTGCTAAGGGGTTTGAGGAGCTTTTACAGAGACAAGAATATTCCCACCAGAGTTGTGTTGCCCACTGTGTGTCATTGGAGTGAATTCATGGGGTTTTTTTGTTGTTTTTTTACCCTCACCCAAGGACACTTTTGCACTTATCTTCAGATAGAGCGGGAGGAAGAGAGAGAGAGAGAAACATCGATGTGAGAGAGACACATCAACTGGCTTCCACCCGCACAACCCCAACTAGGGCCAGGGATGGACCGCAACCGAGGTACATGCCCTTAGCAGGAACCAAATCCGGGACTCTGGTCCAAGGGCCGATGCTCTAACCACTGAACTAAACCAGCTAGGGCTTTTTTTTTTAAATCCTCACCTGAGGATATTTTCCCATTTATCTTTAGACAGATTAGGAGGGAGAGCGAGAGAGACAGAGAGAGAGAAACATTAATGCGAGAGAGACACATCGACTAGTTGCCTCCCGCATGACCCTGACCAGGGCCAGGACAAACCGCAACTGAGGTACATGCTCTTGGCCAGACTCGAACCCCGGTCTCATTGGACCATGGACTGATGCTCTAACCACTGAGCAAAACCAACCAGAGCTCATGTTTGTTTTTTTAAAATAATTTTTCTTTATTGATTATAGAGAGAGAGGAAGGGAGAGGGAGAGAGAGAGAACATTGATTGGCCGCCTCCTGCATTCCCCACACTGGGGATGTCCTGACCAGGAATTGAACTGGCAACCTCTTGGTGCATGGGTAGACCCTCAACCACTGAGCCACACCAGCAGGGTGAATTCATGGTTTGTTTGTTTTTTTGTTTTCTTTTAATTGATTTTAGAGAGGAAGGAAGGGAGAGAGAGAGAGATATCGATCAATTGCCTCTCATATGCACTCCTATCGGGGATTGAACCTGCAACCTAGGTATGTGCCCTGACTGGAATCAAACCTGTGACCTTCTAGTACACAGGACAACACTCCAACTGAGCCACACTGGCCAGAGCTGTACTGAATTCTTTATGAAAACTAGGTGTGGGTCTCCTTTTTTTTTTTTTTTATCCTCACTCGAGGACATTTTTCCATTTTTTATTCAGATAGAGCTGGAGGGAGAGAGAGGAAGAGAGAGAGAGAGAAACAGCGATGTGAAAGGGACACATCAAGTGGTTGCCACCCACACGACCCAACCAGGTCCGGGGACAAACTGCAACCGAGGTATGTGCCCATAGCGGGAACCGAACCGGGGCCTCTCCAGACCACAGACCGACGCTCAAACCACTGAGCCAAACCGGCCAGGGCAGGTCTCCTCTTCTTGATTCTGGGCCTGTTCCTCCTCAATCTGGTGGTCTGCATCCTTATCTTGGTTAAAGTTAAAGAAGGCTAGAAGTAGGGATGGAACACGTGTGGTCAGAGGCAGTGCTATTCTCCTGGCTCTAAATGTTTAGCCAGCCCTGCCCTCCATCTCTACCAAGGGTTGAGGAAATCTATGTCCTTGGGGATTCTTGCCATATGCACTTGGCAGGAGTTAAGGGGTGGGCACAAGGGCTTTGGGAAACAGTAAAAGCTGGAGCTGACTCAGCTTCTCCCTCCCATCCTCCACGTCCCCAGAAACCTGAGAGTGTTGAAGAAACTTAGAAGAGGCGAGGGCCAGTTCTCAAGCCAAGAATCCTTCCAGGAAGAAATCTCATTACTTGCCAGCTGGAGCTGCCATCCTTGGCAGCTTCCGGGGACACAAGACAGAGTGGGCAGGAGGCTGGCCTGGTTAAGGTTCCCATTCAAATCAAGTCTGTACCTGTTTTGTTAGGTTCCTCTGGCCCTAGCCTCATGAGGGTCCACACTCATGGCTAGAGCAATCCTTGCAGACTCTTGAGCATCTGTCTACTCTGAGAGGCCTTGAGCTGGCCACAACAACAATGCAGACTGTCAGTGGGGAGACAGAGAGGTAAGCCAAGAATTATAACATGGTGTTCTGTTATATAATATGGGCAATCATGGGATTCTATGGGAGCACAGAGAAAGACACCCACCCTGCCCCGGGGCTTAGGAAAGGTGGAAAAATTGAGTGGGGAAGGGTAAGTAGGAGTCAACCCGATTGACTTGCTTTGTGTGTGAGGCAGAAAGGGTTTTGGCTGAGCCTTTGCCTGGCAGAGTGATAAATGGATCACTGAATGGAAGCATCGCCTACAACCCCGAGTCTTCTGTGAATTGATCAGACACCACTATCCATTGGTCCAATGGGTGCAATAGATTTGGTGTCCTGGAGTTCCCAAACCTTTTCTCTTCTCTCAATTTCTGACCCCCAAAATTAAGAACAATGAAGAATCAACCTCTCTACTTAGTATAGTTTTTAGGTGCCCTGAGTGAAGTCAAGGTCTCACCTGCCTCCACTCCTCTTCCCTCTGAGGATCTCTCCCAGGTTACCAACGGACAACTTCTCCTGGGGCCAGGGGAATTCCAGCAATCCCCTGGAATTGGCCCAATTCTTTCTTTTCCATTCTAGCCTTCCTGACCAACACTGTTGATCTCTGCCTTTCCCCATGATACCAGACTGCTCAGCGTGGAGCAGGGAAAACCAAGCCACATTCTCTAGCAAAGGGCATATCCTTGTGAGCCTCCAGGCAAAATTGCCAGGTCCTGATGGGACAATATTTGCGTTGGCACACCTCGTCCCAGCCCCACCTACCTCTCCCCATCTCACTCTAAGCCCAGGAACACAAGTCTATGCCTGTTACACATTCTTCAGAATTTCTCCCACATACTCCCAGGAAACAAAACATGCAAGAATAAAATATGAAAGAAAGAGCAAAGAGAATCTGTCCCTTTAAAGCAGAGGGTCTCCTATGTTATTACAGTGAATCAGAATCAGATTCCCAGATCACCTGATTCTTGAGGTCTGGGATGGGGTCCTGGAACTGGCCTTGGTAGCAAGCATGCCAGGCCATTCTGCTGCAGATGGCTTGGTAAGAAATTCTGCCAAGGCTGCTAGCTACTTTTTATAAGTCCTGTCAGCAGGGTTTCTTTAGGTTCTGACAATCCAAACTCAAATTTCTTGGCATGGTTAAAATAGAGCGAGACTCAAAAATTGCCTCATTTTACAGTCCTATGCTATAAAATAAAAGGAAATTGTTCATTTTAACTCTTGCTCCTGTGAGGGAAATCTGAAGCCAAGGGCAGTGCTGTCATAAAGGCTAAAGTTTAGGAAGGGATCCAGATAATGTTGAACAACTGACTGCGACCTGGGGACATTGTCTCTGCTGGGCTTCAGGAATGTGGAGGACAAACAGGAGTGTGGCGGTAGAGGGGAGGGTGTGGGGACTCCTCCAGCGAAGGACAGGTTTAGATTCTGAAGTAAAATGAAGAACTAGGTCCTAAGGACCCTTGACCCTTCCTTCCAGGACCTGAGAAAGACTGTTTTCTCTTGAATTTCAGCCTCATTTGTTTTCAAAGATTCTAAGCACTCGGGATGGTGAAGCTTAGCCTGGTTATCAGGCTGAGCTGTCTACCTCTCACCATTCACAGCTCCCCCACTTGCCAGTCAGAATGGGTATTACAGACCCAGAGGTGTCCCTGCAGTGCCTCCTTCTCTCCCCACCCCTGCTGTTTTCCCTGGTTCAGCCTCACTTAGGACAGTCTGAGAGGGGAAGAAGGTTAGGCAGAGTGATATCCCAGTGTCCTAAAGAAAATGAGGCCAAGCCCTGGCCGGTTTGGCTCAGCGGTTGGAGCGTCGGCCTGCGGTACAGAGAGACCCGGGTTCGGTTCCCACTAAGGGCACCTACCTCAGTTGCAGTTTGTCCCCGGCCCTGGTTGGTCGTGAGGGTGGCAGCCACTTGATGTGTCCCTTCACATCGATGTTTCTCTCTCTCTCTCTCTTCCTCTCTCTCCCTCCCGCTCTATCTGAACAAAAATTGGAAAAGTGTCCTCGGGTGAGGATAAAAAATAAAAAAAAACAAAAACAAAAACAGAAAATGAGGCCAAGTCTAAAAGAATCAGGTGTCTGGCAAATAAGATTTCAACATTTTACCCGTAAACCTTTGGATGCTAATAAGATTAGCAAATCTAGCCCTCCACTTCAGTGATTTTTCTTTCCATCTCCCTTTTCCCATTACTAGAATCTGGCAGAGTCTTTTGAGGCAAAACTGACTTTAGAAGTTCTCTTAGGTCAAGTTGGTGGCTCAGCACCTCAGATCCAAGTGAAATATCTCATCTCCCTTTTCAGGGAGCTCTCTCCAACAAGCCCATTGTCCTCAGTACTTAGG